GGCTTGCTGTAACCAGGAATACACAGAAAGTGTTGCTGGGCTGGCTGCACACCTCACCTGAGAACTTCTACTTAAGCATCCTTGGAAGCTTCAAGCTGCCACTGACATCTAGATACTGATGCAGGAGCAATGAGTCCATGTGGGGAGGGAGAGTATCTCGGAGTACGCAGATAAGGACCAAAGCTGAGTCAGACAGGGACCCAAGCAGGGCTTACAGAAGACCCACCCAGCAGAGCCGACCCATGCTGCAGAAACATTCAATGTAAAATAATGGTTGTTTTAAGGTACTGTATTTTAGGCTAGATATTACACAGCACTAGGTCAAAGACATCTTTGAAATAGATGAAGTAAAGAAGGTAGAAAACCACTGTTGCAGCCCCAGGGACTAGCCTTGGTCAACAGGTCAATTAAAGAATTGGTGGATCTAAGGGACCAGAGAGAATAAGCCAGCCATCACTGACACCTGACACCTGCCTCCTGTCCACTCAGTAAAGAAAGAGCCAGATGAATATAACATACACGGTATCAGCTGGTACCTGCTGATGTGAATGTGGACACAAACCCTCTGTTCGGGACCAGTACAGTGTGTGGTTAAGATCATTCTGAAACCACACCATCAGGGCTCAAGCCCTGTCTCTCACAATTACAAATGCCACGGTGCCTTACAGAACTTCCTGAGCCCTCTGAGCCTCTGTTTCCTCATCAACCATCGAAGAAGACAGTGCCCACCCCCACACAATTGTCCTGAAGACTGAGTTCTGTGTTCAAAGCAAGAAGGCACCTGACTCCCGCTAGGAGACTGCTGTGTAGCTGCCCACTGTCAGCTACATTAGTGTCTGCTCCAATAGTTACTGAGTTTTGCTTCTAAGATTTCGAATCACAGAAAATACTGCCGTTATTAAATGTCATTTTAAGATCTGTTTTCCATATTCATCTGGGTTTCTCCCCTCATACAGTCAGTTAAAAAATAAATCATATTTCTAGTAAAGTTAAAGAAATTTTAGCAAATCACTGAGAAAACATGACCAGTGGGGTGTGTATGGGCTGAGACACCCCCAACCCCCGGGGGGCCATGGAAGTGGGCAATGCACTGCACGGTGCTACCTGCTGCTGACTGCGAACAGGTCTCTTAACCTGTCCTCAACTGGAAAAGATGTTAGCTGCTGTCCAACCTATCCTGACGCCCAGAAGTGGGTAAATTAAAGCCAACATGAAAAGCCCTCATAACTCCTAAGGCATCAGTTAAAGGCTAGGTCACATCTTATATCTATTTATGGAATTTCACAGTCTGTAACAATATTCTCTTCCATTTCTGAAGGTTTTCAAATAAATCCCAAAGGATACCTGCCCACAGGTGAAGCCGCAGCAAGGGCCTTTTACGAGTGCTAACACGAAGCCCATTTTCTTTATGAACCTAAAGAGTAGGCATTCTTTTTGAAAACTCTCAAAAATAGCTCAGACCATTCAGGAAAACCTCCTTTGAAAACGGGAAGAAAGAACTCTCCAGCACGCCACACCTAAGCGCAATAGGTCACTCCGCGGCAGAGGCTTTGCATAAAGGGAAAGCGGAATGGCCTGGGGTTCCGGTTGGATCTGCTGAAGACCTGCTATTCTGATGTCTGGGGCTTGTTTTGTCCTTCCTGCTCCCCCCTTCCCTCCTGTTTTAACAATTTACAAAAGGGCTTAGAAGTTATATTTCTGCCCCACTGATTCCTCCCACCACTGCTGGGCTTGGACCAGATTTAGCCCACAGAGCAGCAGGTGATGTACCCTTCGTAGGGCCAGGGGGAGGTACCAAGCCTGCTTCAGCTCCCTCACCCTGGTTGTCATAGGTCACCTAGCGCTGCCCAAAGAGAGACAGGACACCTTTCCTCCCACCTCAGAGTTCAGAACTCAGAGCTGCTGACAGGGATTCTTTTCCTACTTTCCAGGGGCCGTTGGGTCCGCCCCTTCCATTTGCATCCAAGTCTCAAGTGGAGGTGAAGTCAATCTGTTTTAGAGAAGAGTGGGGGCCCAGAAAGGGCCGTTCATCCCATGAACCTGGACTGACCTAAAGTGAGGAAGATATTACCCTTCTCGGTGCAATCGGGAGGGACACATCTCAGAAGGAAGGTGGGGACACAAAGCTGCAGTCGGTTTCCCTCACAGTCTGTGGTTGCCACAGTCCCAAACGCTACTCACCTGCTCCAAGACCACAGGTCAGTTTGCACAGCATCGACTACAGCAAAACCTGCTTCGGAGCTGGGCTGTTTGCCAAGAGGCTTCATAGCTGCCACTGTCTGAAACTCCCTAGCTTCCTGTGCCCTGGTCCCCATCTCAGGCTTGGCAGAGCAACTGTTCACTTCAAAGCCATATGCCAGTCTCTCTCCAAGTTCCCCAGGAGCCCCGGAAAACTCTGGGTTTAGGGTCTGTGAGAGATCAGGTAGGGGTGGGGTGGTCCTTCTCTAGTATAAAGACTGGGAAGAAAGTTCCCTAAGGTTCCAATGCCCTAGTGACTTCCTGGCTTCCATAATTTTACTGGCACCTGTGGAGGATTTGAAACCAACTTATCCTGCATAGCATACTAATCCAAAGAGAAACTCCCCTGGGACTCAATCATGGTGGCAGCAGCCTCGAACATTAAACCAGCCTGTCCTCAGGCGGTATGAGCTGAGCCAGCCAAGTGTATGTCAACAGGACACTGGACGGGCAGTGGGATCTGACTCCAACTGGGGATAGGCCACCTGTCCGGACAATGGCTAGAACACTGACAAAGCCAGTTATTCTGGTGCTACTGAGGTGTCCTCACCAGTCCTGGCTGCCTTACCATGTGACAGACACATCAGCATTTACTGCTCAGGACAGTGAAACTTTGAAGTCAAGTATCCAAGGTGACTTATTTTTATATTACTGTGAAGAGATACCATGACCAAGACAATTTATGGAAAAACTTTAAAAAGCTTTTCATTTGGGGACTTAGAGTTTCAGAGGTTTAGAGTCCATAGCCATGACGGACATGGCAGGGAGCACGCGGCTGAGAGCTTACATCTCTCAGGCAGAGGCAGAAAGAAGACAGAGATGATTGGAAATAATAAATAAATGGAAATAGATGGAAACCTCAAAGCCCACCCTCATTGACGTACTCCTCCAACAAGGCCACACCTCCTAATCCTTCTCAGATAGTTCCACCAACTGGGGACCATGCATTCGATGCATGAGCCTATGGGGCCCATTCTCATTCAAACTGCCACAGTGGATCAATCACCCAGGAACCACATGGCTGCCAACTGTGGGTCATGCTCCACGCCAGGCACCAAGGATGCCATGTGGAATAGGACACAGCTTGCATCATTAGGGATCTCAAAATATACGGAAGGAAATGGAAGAGTAAGATACTGCATGGAGGGAGAGATGTCATAACTGGGCCTCATTCAGCCCAGCCACATGACATTCAAGGGATAGCAAATAGAGCTGCATGTTTTGTGTTGTCTGAACTACTTACACCCTTGACCCCAGCTCTATATCTATAACACTGGGATTAATAAAATTACACAAGATTTTACAGTGATAACCATCACAGAGAGCTTACCTTCATTTATTTATAAAACAAACAAAAAGACTCTCACCCTTTGAGTTAACCATGCAATGATGCACTAAAATTATGCCCAGTTATGAGGTTTAACCTTTCTCATATTACACAAACATTTTTGAAACACTAAGTCCTTAAACACTTGTAGTCTATAGCTAGTGTCTGACTCTTCCCCCCCCCCCCCTTTCTCTCTCCAGGTTTCTTTGTGTAACCCTGGCAGGTCTGGTACTCACTCTGTAGACAAGGCTGGCTTTGAATTCACAGAAATCTGCCTGCCTCAGCCTCCTGATGCTGGGATTAAAGCCGTGAACCAAAAACACTGACTAGAGACTGAGTCTTTGTTAGTCACTAGGGTGAGTATATAATTGACTGACCAAACCCAGGTGGTCTCTGAGAGCAGACACAAAAAGGAGGAGCTAACAATCCCACTGAGGTACCAAGGTAAACTAGAGGCGCCATTTTTTAAAATACCATTATATTTTTGAATACTGAGTTCAAGAGTGTAATGTATACTTGTATAAAGTGATACATTTCATAATGATGATTTTGAAAAACATCATGTACTTAACTATATTCACTAACTCAAAATACCCATGGCCCTTTCCTATTTCTCCTCCCATCCTGGATCTCCAGTTTCCTTTCCTAAATAGAGCTCCTTCTATTTTCATGAGTATGTATCATAAATAGATCTTCTTCTATTTTATTTGTATGTGTCATACATACATATCTATGTATGTATCATATATATGTATCACATATACATGATATATACATGTGTGTGTGTGTATGTATGTATATACATATAAAACTTAGGTTCTGCATGAGAGAAAATGTGATTATCTGTCTTGTAGGTCTAGCTTTATTTAACATGATCACACCAATTCTATCCATTTTTATTCTTCTTTATAGCTAAATGAAACTCTAATACATATGTATGTATATATACATACTTACACACACACACACACATATATATACATATATATATACATATATATATATATATGTATATATATCGCTTTTTTTAATTCATTCATCTGCTGGTAGACAACTAGGATGATTCCAAAACTTGGCTACCGTAAATACCTGATGCATCATTTTGGACAGAATGGAAGTACTAGTTGCTACATCCATTATCCCTAAGCCAAGTTCACAGTCAAGGTAGATAGCGATCATTATGTCTATCTCTGGGAACTGCCATTGAGGTAGAGGGTGAGTCCAGCAAAACCCTGAACCTAGCTGAGAGCCCCACTGTAAAGGTGTGGATACCCCACAGCTCATACTGCTCCGACTAAAATCTGAGAAGGGTTAGGCTCCAGACTTAGACTCTGCCTCTAAGACTTCACCTCACCCCTGCCGACTAATAACCAGCGGTCTTCTAAAGTTATTGGTCATCCTTTCTGCTTACTCAATGTGCACGCAAGCCCCTTACCTCAGGTGTCCCAAGCTGTAGAAGCGAGACTCTCCATCGGTGGAGCGGACCACCTGCAGTGTGAACATGGGTTGCAGCTGCCTCAGCTCCAGCAGGACTATGGCAAGATAGTGGATGAAAAGCAGCGCATCCACAAGAGAGACTGCATATTGCACGATGTCTTTGTAATTCTGGTCCCGAGAGTCCAAAATTCGGACCCCATAAAAAAGCCAATAAGAAACCACAAAAAGAAAGATAAGGACCAATAACAGCGCTCGGAACACAAACACCCGCGGCACATCTGCTCTTTGCTTTCGGAAGAAAAGTGCCCAGGTTCCGATGAGCAGGATAAGCAGTTTGAAAGACATGGAAATGAGAAGTCCCTCACAAATGGCGCCACAGGGTTTCAGCTCCTCCCTCCACAGGATCTGGGGTAGCAGGATGAAGGCAATGGGGGTGAGGAAGACGAGTAGTCCAAGGAACGAGGCAACGGTGAGGCCGAGATAGCGCTTGCAGTCCAGCCCCACACTGTCCTCCATGTCTTTGCTAATCCTGGCAATGTCCTCCTGGGATATACTGTGCTCTGAGGTGCCCGTGATGGCTGTGGTGGTCTCTCCCCAGTTGTCATCCTGATGACAGAGAAGACAATGAGGGTGATTTATAAAAGCCACAACAAAATAAAACACTTCAGTTACCCAACTTTCTTGGAAATGTACCTAGGATTACATTTTTAACTGTAGGTATTTTCATTGAAATTCTGGGTCTGGGTCTTTCTGCTCTGACATGATAGTAGCTGTTAGACTGCGCTGGGATGACTCCTCTACAGAATAGCCACCCTTCCAGCAGTAAACCCCTCCCATGCTAAGTTCTAGGCTTCCAAAGCCCAAATCTAGACCCTGCAGTAGCTCCACAGATTGAGAGCATAAAACAGGAATTCCCATCACAGAGGGCAAACTCACCCACGGCTGAAACACATTACCTAGATTTCTGTGTGACATTTATAGGACTCGCTTCAGTAAGGAGCAGCATTAAGAATTCTTTGACATCATTTCTCACTGACTAAATAAAGAAAATTCAAAACTTTATGGCCAGAAGAGCTCAAAAATTCTTTCTAGAACATGTTTTCATAATAAACGAGTGAGGGCATAGGAATATCGGGGTTACTATATCTTTAACTTCATTACTTTCTCCTTTAGTGCTTCTAGGCAGTTGCTGGTGTGGGCACTTGGTCTGTTCATTCAACAAGAGTCTGTTGCTAGGCTGTCAAATGCTTCTGCTGTTTCACTGGAAACTAGGACGCCATCTCAACAGAGCCAGGGAGCAGCAGAAACCATGTGAGCTCCACGCATATGATTTAACTAGGAAAAATATCCCATTTAGAGCAAAGTGTTGGAATGAGGACATCGCCTTAGGATAGACGAAGTTTCAGTTCACAGATAAAGCCAGAACATAGATCACTCATAACCAAACAAACCACTTCACACTCATATGTGGATCCTAGCGGTGAATCTTTGGATTTGTGTCCTTATTTGGAGTAGTCGTAGAATCTGAGAAGCTAGAGAGGGGACCCTTGATGGAGGGGAGAAACAAAGGTCTTAAAGGGAGAGATTGTAGGACACAGGTTATAGGAAGGGGAAAGGGGAGATGGAAGGGAAATTTAAGTGGGGAGAGGAGATTGGGGAAGCGATAACTACTATTTTATAAACTTCACATATACATATATTCATATAAAAGACTCTAATTGGAATCACCCTACACAAGGCATAAAGTTCCTCCCAGAAGGCTCAGATTACCAAATAAAAAGCTCAGTGTTGGATGTGTCCACCAGAACTCAATATTAAGACCTTACTGCTGAAGACAGCACACACTCTGGTCATAGGAAACGGAGAAATCAAGTAGGTACTGACAAGGAATCTCCCTCCCTGCTGGCTAGTTTCCACAGTAGAGTGGGAGAGTCATCAGTAGCCTTACTCACTGTGAACTCTCTGAGCTACAATAATGACCAGTGTGGGAAGCTATGTTCATGGCTGTAATAGTGGCATGAGCGTTATGATGGTAACCAACTGCTTTCTGTCTATATTTAAAGCCTGCTCCACAAGAGGAAGCATACCTAGTTCTGTACATTTGGTCAAGAATCCATGGCTGGGGAGCTCACAGATCTCAGTGGTATACCATTACCATTATTCTGCTAAACAGTCATAATACATCTCTCTACCTAGAGGTTAGTGTAGCTCTCAGATCTCATCAGAAAGGTTTCTCTGTAAAGTAGAAGGCAACTAATACAGAAATTCAGAACCAGTTACATTAAAAGGAAAAGTGAGTCAGTCACAAATGGGGCATCTGTGTGAGGGCCAGGGACCCTTGCAGAGGAGGGGGATGAAAGAGTATAAGGGTCAGAATTCAGGGAGGACCCAGGAAAAAGAGTATCTTTGGGGACATGATAGGATGTTGCACTCATGAATTCACAGCAGCTGTGGCTGCTTGCACAAAAAAACAACTCAGTTAACAATCCAGCATGGAGTGGGAAAGCTCTCATGAGTCCCCATGCCTAACTGAGGAGCTAATAACAGTTCATGGATTCTGGGGGAGGGAGAGTCGGTTTGGTTTTCTTTAAAGGTTTGGCCCATGGCAGGTCGACAATAATCCGGTGGATGACTCAGACTGACACATAGATTGGACTAGGTTAGTGCTTAAAATTGGACATAGAACTGGGAGCAGGTGAGAAGGTGAGGGTGGATCTGGGAGAAACTATTAGGAGGAGTGAATATGATAAAAATATATCCTAAGCATGTATGAAATTCTAAAATAATTACTACATTTAATTTTTAAAAGATCCAGGAAAAGAAATATTGTTTTATCATTAAAAAAATATAACTTATGAAGACATGAGCAATGTTGGAAGTGGGTAGTAAAGATTTCAACCTAGGGACACAGAGGCCATCAACTTAGGAAGTCAGAAGTATCACAGAGCATGAGAGAACCACAGACAATAGTTAGAAGTAGCCAGCTCCCACAGGCACTGCTGGTAGAAGTTTAAGATGGTTTAACACCACCCGAAAACTAGCCTGACACTTTCCCAGTGATTTAGATATGCATTTAATTATACAAACCAGCAATCCGACTGCTTGATTTTTATCAAAATTTAATGGAAAAATGCCCACGAAAGACCTATAAAAATATTCACAAGAGCATAATCCATCATAGTTAGAATGTGTGTACCTCAAATGTCCACTCACCAGAACAGATACCAAACTGTGGTCAATTCAGTGGAACACTATTCAGCAAAAATAATAAAGAGTGAACTGTTGAGACATATAGAAGATGGATAAATATCAAAATCATCATGCTGAGTGGGGAAAAACTCGTATGATTCCAATTATATTCAACTCTACAACAGGCAAAACCAATCCACTGAGATGGAAATCGAAACAGCAGTTGCCTCGGAGAGGTGGAGATGGGGGTAGGGATCAACTAGGAAGAGGGAGGAGGGTTTTTGTGCTGAGGGATGTGGGTTCATCTGTTAAAATTTATCAAAGTATACCCTTGAGAACTATTTGGTTTCTGTGTGTAAGTACATCAACAAGAGAAAACAAACCACAAAGTCATACAACTTGCTTTAATATGAGTTCACAGGCTATAGAAAACAGTTGGCTTCGTAGTAATTGTCTCAGAGAAGCAAATGCTAGATTCTACACATGTGATTGATAAATCCCTGCTGAGGTAAGCATTACTAATATCATGTGGACATTCTGTTGTGTAATATCACTGCTCTGACTCAGCTGTGTATCAACTTCCTGCCAGTGCACTGCTAACCAAATCTCTGTTCATTTTAAGGACATATGTACATCTTTGACTAAAAAAGTGGGCTCTGCAAAGGCTTCTTTCAAAATTGAGGTCTTCAGGGGTTGAGGAGGGTGGGAAACGGATCTGAACTTGACCAATCTAATTCCTTAGATTCTTAGAAGCAGGGGACAACAAAAGTTTAATTACCCAAATTGACAGAGCGGCTGAAACATACAACCTCCAAAGGTTTCCTTATCACACCATCAGGCTGTAAGCATCACACCATCCTGCTGTAAGCATCAACAGCTTCCCAGGGAACTCAGGGTACAAAGAAGGAAATGCTTTTCACAGTGGGTTACTAGCACCCCGCAATATCCACCTAGGAGGAAACTGGCCTGTTAAGCTTTTAAGAATGATCTGGTCCTAAGACTGACCACATCTATCCCTCATCCATCCATCCATCCATCCATCCATCCATCCATCCATCCATCCGTCCATCTACCTTCCTAAAACCAAAGCAAGCAGCACAAGAGCATTAAAGGAATTTGCTCACTACTGAACAAACCTCACATTTAGTGGGGAAGCATAGTTATGAGTCTTAACGGCATCTGTATCTTGGAGGGAATGTAGTTCCAGTCTTCCTATGTGATTACCAATCTCTCTCAGGTGTGCACGGATACATGCTTATCTCTGTTCCAGTATCTTTATAGCTGTGTATTCCTACATTGCTTTGTTTATATGAGGCAAGGCTGGGCATGCAACATTTCAGGAGATGTGGAGGGGAAGGCAGTACAAACATACTTCTGAGTATAGCTCACACATTTATTTAAATCAACTAGGCTGCCAAACAGTTGGGACTCAAAGACAATCCCACACAACTTTCTTTTATTTCTTAAGTAATAAAGTGCTGATGTTTTAAATCTGATTGACTTCATTTGAAGTCCTAATGCTAATATTACTTAAACATGCAAGGCCTAGCAACCCCAAATTCCTGCAGTCCTGAGTGGTCGCAGTCTGGACCAGAGAAGCTGCTGGATTTTGACAGATGAAATGTATTCTCCAGATTTGTCTCAGTCCCAACTTGTGGCCTTGACACTGATGTACCTCAAAGACCACCATTAACCCTAAAGTTTACTGGATGTACTTCTGCCTTGATCTTTGACTCAGTATTATCTCATTCACCCAGATCTCCATGCTTTCCATCTAAGGACCAAGGCCTTGATTTCTTTCAGATACCTAGTTTCTCGCTGACTCTTTGAGTCAATGTTAAGCATTCCCTGATGGTGCATTTTTTGTTCTGTTTTTGTTTTGTTTTGGTTTGGTTGTTTGTTTTTGAGCGAGTTTCCTGCCTTCTCCAGTCTTGCTCCATTTTGGAATGAGTCTCCAGGGACTGACTCTTGCCTGTAACTTTTCCATTTTCTGACCTGTCATCAGCCAAGATGGCTTCTTGCCAACATCATTCAAAGGAGGCTATCCAATCTTAGGGTAGAAAGGCCACCACCAAGTCCCCTCTCCCCCTGCTCCAGCTCTTTAATGGTAGGACATGTTGTCTTTAGACCAACAAGAAAACCAGAGAAGTAGATAAACTCATTACGATGCTAGAAAAACGAAGATTAAAAACCCAAGAGAACTTAGTGCAACAAGACTTAGGAAAACGTTTGCTGGAGAGGAGCCGGCTGGCTTACAGCAGGGCCTTTGATCCTCACCTGAACTTCCTCTGTGCCGGTACAGGCAGAGTCATTTGCCAGCAGGGGTTCTCCAGTGGGAGCCTGGATGGTGACAGACTTTTCTGACCCTCTGCCATCTTTATTCCGTGGTGATTTGTGTCTTTCTCTTGTTCTTTCCCTGGGGGGAAATAATTGGATAATCAGACATTAAATTTATGCCAGGTTAATTACTCTCTAGTTCACTGGAAAATAAATTTTATTTTGACTTTAGGAAAATTCTGTGCCTATACCCCACCCCTCACACTGCATCCATACCTATCCATCCCCACAGCCTGCCAGGAGTAAGATTGTCTTAAATTTCCCAACTAAGTATTTTCAAAACAAAGACTGCTGCTCCTCCACCAACAATGGTCACATTTTTTCAGAGCCTAGTTTTAGAAAGCCTATGGCTGGGGCACATTTTACTATAACAATTACACAATTGCTTTGGTTATCATTTGCCTAAACTAATTAGGGATTTTTTTTACTGGACAAACAAGACACTGTATCATATCTAAACTTTGATCTGAAAAAAAGAAAGAAGGAAAAGAAAAAAAAAAGAAATCTGGGACATGATATCACCCTACAGTTTGGGACAAGAAGAGAAGAAAGGAAATCCTAAACCAGGACAGAGAATCCCGTACTTGTCTTTCTTACAAATTCAACATGAAAAGCCATTCTGTGGGTTTTGACTGAGCTCAAAGACACCCATAGAAACAAAAAAGGTGAAACAAATGTTCCCAAGGGGTGTGTGTCCCAGGCCACCTAAGAGAAGCAGGCTTCCTGTACTTCCACTCCAGAGGAACTTTGTGGGTGGTCTTCCAGAGACAGTGGGAGGACACCCTGCTGTTCAGTCTTAAAACTACAAAAGGCCTCAGCCTCAGTGGCCAAGCCCTAGAGGTCACAAGCTAGTCAATGAGCAGTAAAGGAGAGGGCAGCAAAGCAGCCTGCACTGGCAAAAGTCAGTGTGTCCCTGTGGCCTCCTGTCTCCATGTGCGACCTGACATCAGTTTTTCCCATACCCTCCTGTCCTCGTGCCCAAAGTTTCCCATTCTGTGTGCAAAGTCAGACAGTCAGCTCTCCCATGTGTGACCTTGTACAGGTGGCTTGACTTCAGTTTCCCTTTGGGAGGAACGGAATGGGGGCCACGGTGCCACATACACAAGGGAAAACGCATGTGCTCAGTACAGGGGCGTGGAGTGAGCGCCCAATATACAGCAGCCATCATTAGCCAATGGCAAAAAATGGTGTCTGAGCTTTGTGAAGAAGAGTGTGATATCCCAGAGCGTGTGATGTCCTGGAGAGAAGGGCACAAAAGAGCCATGGGCACACCATGGGCACACCATGGGCATACCACCAAACCCTCTTCCCCACTGCAAATGTATCTCCTACTACCCTACTACTTAGCAACAACAAAGAACCCCTAAAACAAATCAAATGCATAGCAGATCTACTGCCAGACTCCTATCTTGGGAACTCCCTCCCTTGGATAAGTATTGGATAATTCCTTCAAGGAACAAAGGATTTCCCGTGGCATACGGTTTTTCAATGACAATAGCTCCATTCTTAGCCATAACTAGAAATAGATGTGTTCTGGTTAGCTGTGTGTGGTTCCAGACTGGCAACTGGGGGCCAGTAAAATAAGCAGAGAATCTGACTGTTCACCCAGAGCTGTATCGAATGATGTCACTCCCCCCTCCCCGCCCCGCCCCCTTTATACAGCACTTGGCTGGGCTTGTGACTCTATTAGCTCCATTCAATTCTAACAAATGATTCTGAGGCCAGTATTACTGCCCCATCTCACAGATGAGAGAACTAAGGCTCAGGGGGAGTTTAAGCACCTTCCAAAAGTTGTGGTAATAAGCAGAACAGGAACTGATGCCAAATCTGTTGCCACTATTTCTACTCAGTCACTATGTGACATTGTTTTGAGGAACAATTTGATTTTTTTTAAAAATTAGCATATAAAATTATATAAAACAATGAGATTTTACTATACTTTTTATATATAAAGATAATATACTTTGGTCAGGTTCACCCTTCTTTACCCTCCCCCACTGGTCCCCTTTCTTTCCTAAATCTCCAGAAGTTGGTGATGTCATAGAGTCAATATTCCTAGCTCTCATCTTCACACCCCTATACAGTCGCACTGCTGGAGCTATGAAATGGCTGTGGCCATGGATAGCCTTAGCTGTGTGTACTGGGTTGTCCAAAGCCAGCACTCCGAAGGGTATTCTCTGTGAGCAACAGTAAGCAGTGTAGGAGATTCCTGCTCCCAGCTTGCTGTCTTCAGAGTGAATTTTAGGCTAGGTCTAGAACTGTTAATACACCAGGTCCCACCTGCAGCCAGCTGGATGGCCCTGGAACGATCCCCACCCCTTCCACTTCCCCTGTGATTCTCCATTTCTCACTCTTCTTGGCCATCAGCCTAGTCACATGCTTATCTAACCTGGCTCTCTCTATTGAAAATTCCCGTAGGTCAAATCCTGTGACAGCAAAGATTCTACTAAAACAAAATCCTTTTGCTTTGTGCCAGTTCCTGATTCCTGAACATCAAGGGGGTGAAAAGCAGGTGGAAACCAACCAGAACTAAAAATGACTGCACTCCTCTCCCCTGAGCCACCCAGCTGGGTTCTTAAAGGACCCAAGAGCTCTAAGATGGGAACGTCTTGTTTGTTTCACCTCGGATAACACCTGAAGTAAATCAGGTAAGAATGTCTTGTATAGGAGGCCAAGGACCTGCCCCTCTACACCAGTGCTCTCACCTCTCAGGTTCCTAGTGCAGACAAACCACCAGAGGTGCAGAGATTGGGTGGCCCTGCCCTCAGACAATTTGTCTGGGAGGGAGATGAGACAGGAATCGACATTTTCTCACCAGCACCCCAGGTCATCAGGATGCAGGTGATGCAAGGATTGTTCCGAAGACTTTCCCATCCCATGTTTCTGGGGAGGCTGTGGGAATTCCTACTTAGAAGTTTGTGTGTATGTAAACACCATGTGAATGGCAGAGGATCAAAATCATGGGTAGCACCGTAATACACAGTGTGTCATTATTAACATAGTAGGGCTGAAGAGATGGCTCTCCTAGAAGATCTGAGTTCTGTTCCCAGCATCCCATATCCAGAGGCTGGCAAATACCTGTAATTCCAGTTCCTGGGTTCCATCGGCACCTGAAAACACTTGCACAGACCCACGCATGTAAATAATAAAAACAACCCTTTTCTTTTTAGTGCATGGATAAAGAACAGCACTAATGAATGAGTATAAACCAGAATAATGAGGGTCCTATCAGTGCTGCACCAAGAAAGCTGCTCCTTGAATTACCTCACCGTGGAAGGGAGTGAGACTCACCACATGGCAGTTACAGAAATCACTGCTGTTAGTTACTGCTCTGGGCAGGTCTCCAAGCCAAGCCCGGACTTAGCAGTGATGTCCAAGAAAAACACTGTTGATCATCCATCCATCCAGTGCTTTCTAGTCTGTAGAACTATGAAACTCTGAGAGGTCACTTGACTGTAGAACATACCTAAACACTCATTCCTGTAGCTGTAGAGGCAGTAACGGGGAGGGAGATGCAGCTCAGGCAGTAGAGTGCTTGCCTAGCATTCCTGAAGCCCTGGGTTCAATCCCTAACACTGCATAAACCAGACATAATGGTGCACACCTGTGACCCTTGGTGACATGCAGAATTTGAGGCCAGCTTGGGATAGCAAATTGACAATGTAAGTTTAAGGGACATCTATCTATGGCTGCCCATTATCCTAGGAGAGGGTTCCCCAGTGATGAAGATGTGTCGAAGAGTGTAGAAAGAAGAGTCCAGGGGGAGTAAACAGTTTAATAAACCAATAAATAGAGCATTAGGACACAGGCAAGATTTAACTGCCTAAGTGGTCAGGATCACCTGGGGGCCCTTTTCTGGGGAGCCTCATCACCCACAGGACTCTGTGTCTTTATCGTTAACTCTGTCTTCCTGCTTCCTTGGCCCACAGCAGTAAAGATAAGTCTATCAGTGCAAAGATAATTCTGTCAGTGCTGTCAGTGCAGAGATAAGTGTATCTGTGCACTGTATGCACGCATGCATGAGAGGGTGGGGAGAACAAGTTGTAGCATGCAAGAGGCAACTGTGTGCGCAGGTAAATGCATCATCATTTAGGTAATTTGTTAGCTGAGCCCTGGGGAGCTGCTGCAACCCCCCCCCCCCCAAGTCTAGCTGGAATGCCTGCAGTTCCCACACTGTCCCTACTTACAGTCAGCATTTCCTGGGCAGGCCATTTCCTCCAGCTCTGTTGCTTGTCTGTTTCTAAATGGGGAAAGCCATTCCCCCTTCCCCTCCCCCTCTTACTCCTCCCTTTCCTCCTCTCCCATCACCCACTCACTACCTGTCCTCCCACTGGGGGTGGAACAAACAGGCTCTGAGTCCTAGGAATCTGCCACTGCCCTGGCAGCCCTTTAGAACAATGCATTTTATAGCACATTAGTCACGTTCCCTTTCAAAGGTGACATTCTCTTCCGAAGGACCTGCAAGCCTGAGACTTGCAGAGGGGCTTCCTAGCCTGCCGGTATCTGGGAACCATGTTCCTCCCTGTGCCTCAGTGTCACCACCTATAAAACAGAGCTCCCAACTCTCGCTCTGCTAGAACTGTTGTAAGCATGGGAGAGAGGGACCATGAGGGGCCTTGAAGGTACTCCCCAAATGATGCTTAGTGCTTCCAGCTGCTGCTGACTGCAGTTTAGATGAGATTGGCTGTAGTCTGTACACTCTCTCAACAAAGCTAACTGGACACTCTCTGGGGGCTGCCAGGCATCAGAGACCTCTGTCAGAAAACAGGATTTGACAGTGGCCCACCCTCTATGACAGTCAGTGTCATCAGGTACCTCATTACTCCTTTCTGAGCTGGAGCTGTGCTAAAATTACCCAAAGACCAGGTCCCTTTCTTTTCCTACTCCTCCCTTTAAACTCCCCACAAACCATCAAGCAAAGAAGCCTTCACAGGGCACTCCTGGGACAAGACATGCCTGAGGCAGCTGGCTCTCAAGCCTGTGGAGGGCTCCTTCACTGTTGGATTCTCTTCTCGCCTTGGCTAAGCATTCCACAGAACCTACTGTGAGTGTATGACAACCTTTGCCCCTTAGTTCTTATGACCTCGGTGGTCCTCCCTCAGACGACTCAATGCAACAGGAGGCGTGGGGGCTTCAAAGATCCACCAAGAGCACACACAGCCCCACAGCTCACATCCCTCCCTCAGTGCCACTTGGAATAGGCACTGGGCAATATTCCCTGAGCACCTGCTGAGAAGCTGCAGCTCCACTCAGCCCTCCTCTCGGTAGGCACTCTGCAAGGTTCCTTCATCAATTGATTAAAAGCCTCAGCTCCAACTCACATTTGCCAAGTACTTTCCACAGGGATCAAGACAGAACTAAGCGTTCTGCATGTCATCTTAATTGAAAGTTATAGTCTCTTACAGTTCCCATAACAGCACTAGAGAATCCATTTCTGAGTCCCCAGGAGTTCCAGGGAAGCAGCAGCAAGCAGCAATGGGCCTTCAAGTCTTGGTGGGTGTGCAGATGAAAGAAGCCAGAGTTGGCTCCATTCAGAATTCTGCAAGCCATCCTCTCCTACTTACTCCCAGCCCCAAAGGAAACCCAAATTCCTATTCATACCATCTGGAAGAGGAAGCCCAACACCCCAGTAAGCCAGCTGCTTTTTCCAGTTAGGCTCAAAAAGCAGGTATTTGAAAACAGCTGTTTCTGGTATTTTACAATAAATCTGTCAAGTTTGTTCACTGATCGAAATCTGTGATTATTTTTAAAACCAGGGTTCTCTCTTGGAATCTGGGCTGTAGAGAGTCACTATAGGTCCCTGAAGCACCCACACATTCTGTCTTCACTGGAAAAAACGAGCTGAGCTCCAGCATAGCACACAAACAATGCAGGGATGATTAGAAAATAAAGCAAAGTTTCTAAAAGAACCAGACAGAAGCCTGTTTGCTTACAATAATGTCATCTCGAGAGCGTTATCTTTAAAGCCCTTTCCTTTATACTTTTATTCCACCTACTTTATTGTCTTAAAGACATGGTCTCACTGTGTAGCCCTGCCTGCCTACCTGGTCTGGGACTTTCTACTTGCTATGCAGACCAGGCTGGCCTCCAACTCACAAATATCTGCTTGCCTCTGCCCTCTGAGTGCTAGGATTAAAGGCCCCTGCCCCTTATCACTTTCACTTTTAAAAAAAATTCCAAAGTATAAATTTGTACATAAAAATAAAGTTTAAGTGTATATAACTCTCCATCCATTAGTCATCACTGCCACGAGCCCCTTCCCTGAAGATGCCACACCTGGTAGCTTGGGAAATACTTGCAGGCTCCTTTCCAGGTGTGGCCACCTACACAGAGTCCATGAAACATACATCTTACTCTGAAATCTCGCTCTGGGTACAGTTACTTATATAGTGATCTGCTCACAGAGAGAAGCAAACACCAGGACAGCCACCACTTCCCCACAGCACACAGCTGTGGTCACAGCTGGGTCTCTGAGCTGGGGTCAGATCTTACCTTTGAACAAAGGTGCTCAAACACCAAGACCGGAAATAGCATTAACATAGCTACAAGAGAGGGACCTCCTCCTAGGGGCCCGAGTTAATCATTTCCCATGTATATTTCATTCAGCCTTCACCAGGTCTAAAAGGAGGAGATCCCTATACCCATTTCACAGAGGAGACAACTCGTCAATTACGTTTTTATCCTGCACAGTGTAGTACCACCCATTTCATCATTTCTGTTCATTCATCCATTTATCTCTCCGAGACTCAGCGAGGACTCTGCCCCCCCAGAATGCACTTGGCCCTCTGAATAGCAATGAAGGGAGAATAGCAGAGAAAGGGGAATTTGGCCCCACTACTCAGTTTTCAAATCCTGACTCACTTGGAAGACTAGTTGAAGAGAAATCAGATGCCTGGCCAAGCAAGTATGTGCATGTGTGCATACGTGCGTGCTTACATGCATGTGTGTATGTGTGTCCATGTGTGTATATGTGTATTTGTATGTATCTCTATGTGTGTGTGTCCGTGGATGTGTGCATGTGTATATGTGTCCGGGTGTGTGCATCTGTGTGTGTGTGTCCGTGTGTGTGTCCGTGTGTGTGTGTGTGTGTCCCAGATAGCCTCAGGGCAGATGCTTAATATTCAGTGAGTCAGCAGCTTCAGGTGAAGCAACAAATTAACACCTGCTTTTTAACTTTCATTTACAGTATTGGTAGAGCTTGGAGAGAACACACACCTATAAGAAGTACTTAGAAATGAGAAACATTTCCACTGCCGGGGAAACTTTAATTTAAAACCAATTGTGAGAAATTAAGGCTATCAACTCTAATGGCAGCTATAAAGTGTAAATTGACAGTACAGTGATTCCCCAAGCATGCCAACGCCCTTACGGCCTGGCTTCTCATGCACCATTGGACTGAACCTTCAGCATCCTCAGTCCTTTAGGTGGGCTGTTGAAAACTGGTTTTCTAAGAGAAAGTTCTACCAACCTACAGGCGCTCTTACACAGAAGGATGGAGTGACTGATCACTTACATACCCTTGCCTGTGAGATTTTTTTGAGTGGCTTGAATAGTAGGAATATCCAGAATACGTGGATTCGGTATCCATAGCAATGGCAAGCTTCCTCTGATGAAGGAACAGGGGCTGTTCTCCCACGTGCAGTCTCACTTACTAGCTCTGAGGGCCTCTGAAGGCCTGAAGACTCAGAGACACTTCTCTTCAACGGTACTCTGTAAAGAGGAGAAAAAGGAGAGATTAATCCTCAAAGTCAAAGGGCTGAAAGATAAACCAACAACAGCCAGCTCTCCTCTGGGGTTCCTGTTATAGAATATGGGGTGAGCATAAAAGTCAAACCTCCAAATGCACCACTCACCCAGGAACAAGCATCACAGGTGTCTGAGAGGAAAGTGGGGTGTTACCAAGCTGGACCCCAACACAACAGGAGGAAGAAGGTTTGGGAGAGACCTGGGCACTGGGACATTTTTTTTCCCTGAGCACAGCCTTACTGCCCTCATGGCTTTGGTTTTAGAGTAGGACACCAACCCGTAGACTTACTCAGCGATTTGGCCGTCATTTTCAAAAGTCAATTTGTTTTTTCTTAATCTCTTTTGAGAAGTCAAACTCCTAGAAATTTGCCTTCAATAATTAAAACTCAACAACCACCATGGATGACTTTCTGCCTGTGATAATGAGGAGTCAGGAGCAATGTAAACACCTCCCCAAGCCAAGGAATAAACAGCTCGAAGAAAACAGGATTCAATCAAAGAAAATATCACATATCTGTACAAACTGACAATTACAAAGAACTGAGGTTTTAATAAGCAGGATATGGGATTGTAGGTAGCCAATGCATCTATAGAACGGTTGGAATGATGTAAAATAACTTACGGAAGGGCCGGGACCACAGGGGACATCAGTAACAGTGATTTATTAGTTACAAGGTCCTAGGTCCTTCCCCACTTCCCTCTAATATTGCTCTGCAATAAAAATAAATTAGAAACACTTTCAAGTACATTCCGGAGCCTCCACATGCTCAGCCTTCACTCCTAGAAAGTCAGCTCTAAAGTTCTGCCTCTTTCTGAACTGCCCTCCCTAGGCTGCTCTAGGCTCAACAGGGTTCCTGTTCCCCACCCTGCAGGGTCCCGGAGGCTAAAACTGCAAACAGAGCTAGAGAGATAAGTGGGAAGGAAAACAAAGGAATTGCAAAGGCCACACCCCTGCCCCAAAAGGGAGGAGATTCCAGCTCCCAGACCCCAGCAACAGCTAAGACCAGGAGACATTTCAAACTGGGAGCCCAGCTGGGCTTGGCAGTCTCATCTGTACACAGTTACACTGGTCTAGAGGCTAGAAGTAGTATTCTGTTACTTCCAAGGTGAAGAGAAAAAAATGTTTCTAAAGAGACCCTGTGCCTAGGGGTTACTCGCCCTGTCCTAGATGTCTCAACTAGTGACTTCACTTGCAATTTATCTTACTTACAGCACTAATTCTTCAAGGAAAAACAGCTCCTCACTATTGTGATCAAATACTAGAAACAATGAAAGGTCCCCAAACCCAAAGAATAGGTAGGAAACAAGGTTCAACTCTACCCAAATTAGCACATATTTGTAATAAATGATAGTTATGGAGTTAACTCCAAAGGCCTCCATGCACTCACTTATCCATTCCATATCCATGTTTCTAAGTGGCCAGAAGACCCTGCTCAGGAGTGCTATGGGCACAAAGCTACAACAGAGAACTGACTGCTCTCCTTGGCCCTGCTGGTGGCTGATTTCCATTTGATGGCATGTGTAGCATTTCTCCTCCAACCCTTGGCCCCCTTTTTCCCTATCAGGTTATTATTTAACAGCCTTCTGCCATCAAGAGCCGAAGCCTAGCCATGGGAAGCCTGGAGTCCAGCCCAAGCGGAGCCACCTGCGATCAGCCCCTTCTTTGCCTTCTTGAATCTCGCCTGCTTACTTGTCAATCAGGAATCCAAGCACCACACTGGCCACTATCTCCCAGGGTGAAGCTATGAACAGACACAGACTTGACTCACTTCCTAGCTCTAGGACCTCAGTCAAACGATGCGATCTCTTTGAAGTCCCGTCTATAAAATGTGAGCATCGGGAGTGCTTTGATGGCTATCTGAGCTGGCAGTGGTGATGGTACCCAGCATGGGCACCACATGCACCACATGGGGTGAGTAAAAGTGGATGGTCCCTTCGGTGGTTTCTAAACTCCAGGATCTCCTGTCTTTCTCAGCAAACAGAAAGCTTGGAGAACAGCAGGGTGGAGAGCCAGCACCTCCCTCCAGGCCATCCCACCCAAGATTCATCTGCTGCATGCAGAATGGGGCTGCCCCTTAGGCTGTCTGCTCACTCACCAGCTGTGTACTGCAGTTTAATCTCTCAGAGCTGTGGATTTTCCATCCAGTAAAAGAAAGGCAAGCAGCCTGCTTGGGGGTGATTATAAAGACTAAACATGAAACTAAGCAGGCATCTCTCAGAACATTAGCTTGGCTCCTGAGCCCAGTCTGAGTCTTTCTCTTCCTTTGGTCTCCCAGGGCTTTCAACAGCCATTCAATGAGCTCTCAGCACGCTACACTCTCCCTTCCTTTCTGCTCTGGCCTGTGCTCTTTTCTCACTGGCCTTTGGCTGGCAGACAACCAACCTTAAGAGGTACAGTCAGGATCTAGGGGCAAAGCACAAAACAATCTTCTTTCCTTGTTACCCAATAGCGGGACTCTTGGTTGACCTGCAGATTCCAAGGCTTGGCACCTTTTTCAGGAAACTGACCATTCTTCTCTAGACTCATAATTAACCCCTCTCATCCTGATGAGTGTTTCTGCACCCCGGCCTATCATGCCTGTCCTAGATGGTTCTCTCCCACAGTTCCAGCCGATGCTCACTAGAGAGGGGAATCTATATGTGTGATCCCTCCCTTCTTTCCTCCCTAATGCCACCATATCTGCCATCTTTTCACAGCCACTGAAGAAGCTCTTAGTTGGCCAGAGACTGCCTTGACTCAAACCTAACATATCCTTACCCTCTTTCTGCAGGCCCTTCGTACACCATTGATTTGCCTCCATATTTAATGAGTAGCCACCAGACCCTGCTCAGTGATGCTAGGGAGATGGCTTCAACTGGGGCAAATGACCTGACCTCATTAAGCTTTGCTGACTAGTTTGATGGCATGTGTGCTGATCCTTCTCCTCTGGCACTCTTCCTCCATCCTTCTATCAAGTTATCCCTTAATACTCAAGACACACCTTCTTCTTCTTCTCCATCTCTGGGGATAAACTCCTGAGTCAGGAGGAATGGCCCTCTCCCCCAAATATTCTAACCATAACAAACACTTCCTCAAAAACAAAGCCAAATGCTCCTTTTCCACTTGTTCAACTCTCTCCCGCAGCCACTCTCTGTGTCCTAAGATATTAGTCTTTCTAATATCTGCTTCCAGTGATGCTGCCATCCTGTCCAGTACACGGACCCACTCTGCTGTTTTGAACACTCTCTCCTGTTCACACGTGCATCCCACTGCCACCAAGCTCTGCTTGTCTGCGGGTCCTCCCCATCCTCTCCCAGTTCACAGCAAGGGGATAACCTAGAGAACATTGCCAGGCTCCCTCTCCTGCCCTGGCCCACACAGAGCCTAGTCCTCTCTTTCACCATGGTTACCAACTCTTGCCTCATCTAAGATCTGGGGGAGGAGTCAGGAAGTAAACTAATAAAAAGCAGAGTGAACTCCTTCCAGAAAGGGCTTGACCTCAGGTAAGGGCTCCCATTTGAGTTAGTAAAGACACATTATCTGATGCTTATCTCTGTGAGAATGCACAGAGAAACTAATACAACTCCTGACAGGGTCAGAAATGTTTATCTTTATCAGCAAAGACAATCAAGCAAGGGTAAGAAATTAATTTCCCTGGATAGCAACTAATGAATTGTTGTTGTGTCAAGAACGGAATACAGGCAGGGAGGAGAGCATAGGCAATCCTAGAACCTGCAAGGTCTATCACTGGCTCCTATATTGTGTTTGGTCCAGGTCAGGCAGCAGCCAGGCTCACCTAACCTCCTTGCTTCAAATCCTCCCATGGTATCCCCTGAACTTTAAAACATGGAATCTTCCATTTGATCAACAGTCTTGCCAGCTGTCCCAATTCCTTGGGGCCTGGTTCTTTCCAACCTCAGGACCCGAGCCCAGATCAGTATATCTGCTGAGACTCATTCTCTCATTTGGCTAATTCCTCTCAGTTTAAACATACTTCTTTTAGAGAGATCTTGCTGACCCTCCAGTTCACACATGGCCAGCCCACCATCTGCATTCTCCCGACACTTAGCTCTTCCAAGTCACACATTCACCTGTGTGATTATTGAGCATCAGGCTCTGAAGAGGCTCCTGGGGTGTAGGGACCATAGTCCTTTGTTTTCCTGGATGCTGACAAACAAGAGGCACCTAATAAATATTTGATGAATGAATGAATGAATGAATGAAAAGTCTTGTACCTATCTCACAACATGCAAGCATGCCTTTACCATAGAAGAAAGCTTACAGAGGGTAGATAAAACAAAGATTTCAGAACTATCCTGAACAAAGTGGCTCTGCTGGTGCAATGCACAGCTTATTCAGTAACAGAACATATAGTCCAGATGTGCTCAGGGAAGACCAACACCACTGTTGAAGCTAGTGCTCAAGAGCATCCTGCTCCAGTCTGGCTGGATCCGAGTACATCAAACCACACAGCATGGGAAACTCTGATGAGACAGCATCTTACAGTATGCAATGAATTTCCCTATCACCCTGTACTAAAACAAGCTGATAGTCAGTGACCCCAAGGAGAGTCTTCCCCTAAAGTTCCATCTACTCCTATAAAACACACAACTCCTACTTGAAAGAAAAACAGTGATGTGTGTGTGTGTGTGTGTGTGTGTGTGTGTGAGAGAGAGAGAGAGAGAGAGAGAGAGAGTATGGGAAATAACAGGTTATGATAATGACCATGGTAAACGTAAGCTAACTTTTATGAAAAGGAAGTTATAAAAACATCAACAGCTCCATGTAGAGCTATTAATTAAAGGGGCTCTGCCTGGGGAGGTAGTGAGTTACTGCATACGGTGTCCAGAGAATAGCATATGTGGGTTTACTTGGGTTAGGAAGGATGGTACAGAGGGAAGTGACGCGGCCTGAGCTTGGCTGTGTAAATCGTAAAGCATTACCCAAGTCTGCGACGTGAGGCTCTGCAGGCCTCAGATACCTGGGACGAGTCAATGATCCACTTCTAGCAACACAGCTCTTCAAGATGTATGGCTATGGCCACTGTCTACCAGGAGAGAAAAATGCCAGCCTCAGTTTACCTGGTTTGCCAATGAGTTCAACTCACATCCCTAGACTAGCTGCTGTTGGCAGGAGTCATTTATTACCTCTGGAACATTCCTGGCAGCTGGATAAAAATTGCTGAAGAGCTGTGGATGGCTACTGTATCTATGAAGCTTCAGACACAGACCATGGTACTCTAGGTGGGGTTTGGAGGGACAAGAGTGGAGATAGAGTAACAGAGGATGTAGGCAGTTTGCTTCTGGCTCCATAAGGACATAAACTATCAGAGTCCAGCCATAGCCACTGAATCTTGTCCTCCTTGTGGAATGTTAACTGGCCACAGTTAGCTCACTCCACAGAAACGGTGGCAGTTACAGTCCTTCATCAAGGGCTTCCTGTGTGTTAAGACTGAAGTCACTTGCATGAAAGAGCTCAGTCTTCAGAACAAGTCTTTCAGGGAGACACACTTGAATGTTATGGCACAGTTAATAGAACAAGGTCACACATACAAGCACATGCCCTGTATGGCTTTAACCTTCAGGAGACTGATTTCAGAGAGGATGGAAAGCTGAAAGCTATGCAGCAATTACCAGAATTGTTTGTTTACTTAGAGAAGAGGCAGGCAACAATAGTGAACTGTTCCCAACCACATATGACCTCACAAAGAATCCTGCCGCTCGACTCCTACTCATAGGTTCAGGTTCAGTAGAAGAGAGACTGCGTGTGTGTGTGTGGGGGGGGGGGCACTTTAAGAAGAAAGAAAATCTCAAGCGGCCTTCAGCCCAGGTGAGACCTATGATTATTAATCAGCGTGATGAGGCCCCCTCCAACCCAAACTACAGCAGATGCAATGCAAGGTGTGTCTTTAGATATACGTCAGGGGGAGAAACAGTACTTGCCACATTCAACACATTAATTCTTAAACCAACGGTGTCATGGAATTGTTGCTTGGTAAGGAAACTTTTCAATTTCCTGTACGGTTCCATCCTATTGCTCAAGAAATAAGACAATAAAAACTTTTTTGAGACTTGGCAGGCAGTCTCAAAAATATGACACTTCTCATTTTACTTACAAATGAAGTTGCCACCAAGTGACACTGTCAGCAGCTGTATCCCTGAAAATTTCACACTGGGTGTTTTGGCTAGTCATAGTGGGAGTCGCCAGCCTTTAGAAATGCTAAATGCTCCTGGATATTTCTTTGAAATGTAGAATAAAACAGTTTCCTCCCACACATCAAAGCCCCAACTATATCACACTGATTTAATTCAATTCTAAAAACTCTAATTAGTGGTTACATAAAATGGCTAATTATGCCTCCCTGAGTTCAGCCGGTTTCTGCCATCGCACTTACAGAGCCTAGGAGCTGTGTAATCAACACGCCCACTAGAAGGAGAAGGCTAATTAGTATTGTTGATTGGTGACATAACTTATAATATTTTTCAGCAAACCCTGTAAAACGTATAAACATGCCAGTGAACACACTAGTCTTCACAGCTAGGTTTTGGAATTCGCCTGTAAGGACACCCGCATCCTGACCACAGTCCCCTCAAACGGGTTCAAACTAACGCACGCGCCAACCACACAGCCTTCACGATAAAGAGCCCAGCCACCTCTCCGTGAGTTTCAGAAGGAGCTCATCTTCGCGTCTGGCGGTCTGAGCATCACACCCTATTTGGAGACATGAAAATTGAGATTGCCTGGTTTCAGCTCTCCCCTGCTCATCACTGAGCCACCAGGCTACGCCTCCGCCCCCACTCCTGCTTCCACCACCGACGCTTTTAAATTTTTATAAAGCTTCACACTTCTCTGGGCGCCCTGCTTGGGGGCAGTTTAATGACTGCAGGATGAAATAAGGTTCTACTGGTGTCAAAGGCTGCCCAGGCGCAGTGAAGTTGCCCAGGACAGGGACTCCTCCTTTGGCTGGGACTGGCTGCACGCCTCTGCTCCGCCCCGGCGCTTTTGAAAGTAAACTACCTGCCTGTTGCGCTCCGCGATGCGCAGCGGGCCGCGCCCCCAAGGCCTCCCGGGCTGCGGTTTTGTAAGCGAAGAGAGAAACACAAGCCAGCGCCGTTCATGTGCTCAGAGACCGGCCAGGTGACACCGGGCCCTAGCGGAGACCCCGGCCGCGTCTGCCCTGCAAGGCGCGTCCAGCCACTGGTTGCCTCCGACACGCCGTCATTCCCCGGCCGCCACCCCGGCACAGGCACTCAGGGGCGCACTCCAAAGGCTCGACAGGGCAATGGGGCTTCCGAGGTAGCGCAGGCTGCCCTAGGACTCCGAGCAGTGGAATAGAGCGGAGAGATCCCGGGACAGGGATGGAAGAACTCACGTCTCGGGAAGCACGACCTGGAAGAGCCCAGGGGTCTCCCGGCCCGAGGCCCCGGACCCCGATCGGACCTCTGGGGAGCAAGGACACCCGCAGTTGGCCCTGACCTCCCACCCAGCTCAGTTCCCGGCCGCCGCGCCGCGCCCGCCTCTCCCGCGACTCACCCCGGCGCCGGCCCGCCGCGCTCCACGCCCGCGCTCTCGGCTGCAGCGCCCCGGCTCCGCGGCCTGCGCTGGGCTGCAGTGAGGCACAGCCCCGCCGCGGCCGCTGCTCTCTGCTGCTTTCCGCTTCCTGTCCCGGCGCCGCCCCGCAGCCCCAGCCCAGCCCTGCTAGCCCGGCGCGGCCGCCAGCCAAGAGCTGCGAGCGCTGCGGGCCCCGCGGCCGGCCCGGCCCACCTGCAGCGGAGGGCGGGGCGGGGGCACGGACACACACACACACACACCACACTCGGCCTGGCCGGGGACTGACATCTCCCTTCCCATGTGGACCCACTAACACACAGTCCAACAAACCTCATCCTGAATTCCTGAATGAATATATGACGCAGGGGTTGATGTCTCCTCACTCAGCACCCAAACATATCCCCAAGATAACACACACACACACACACACACACACACACACACACACTTACAGTTGTGCATAAAATCCAAGCCCTCTCATTGTATGCCATCACTAAAGCTCCAATCCGGATATTCACGTGGCTCAAGAACCAATTTCTACCCCTCCCCCCAACTCATACATTTTTCAGCACACATAATACACTTAAACTCCAATGTAGCCCAAGAGATGACCCGACCAGTAACCACCAACGCCCACAGTCTTACAGCAGATTCTCCCTGGTCCTTTTCTACCAGAGCAGACAAGCCTCTGCTCTCCTGGTCTACTGGAAACTGCCAGAAGAAGGCATCCCTGAAGGCAGGGAGCCAAAAGTTCCAGACTGATTGAGACCACTTTCCTCGCTAAGCTTCGTTTCCCTGTCTGGACAGTGGTGAGGACTCTAATGCCCTTGAAGGGTTGAAATGAGAGTTATAGGAAGTGCTGAACAGTTGGCAACTGTTTTTGTGAACATTCTCGCCCTTCTTTCTTAGTTGTAATAGAATCCGTGCCCAGAATGACAGATCTACAACTGCCATGACAAAATGCTCCCGCGAAGGCACGCACAGCAGGAAGTGCTGAATTTGCAGTTTGTTTGCAGGAATGCTGGGGGTGATTTGGCTTGAGAAACGCAGGATCTTTGTGAAGTAGCCTTGTTTGGGAACCTGTAGCCTCAGGAAGCCGTCACTCCTCACTGCTTTTTCCTGTTCCTCTATATTCCATTTTCTCCACCACCCAGGCCACATCCTTCCATGTATACCCAGATATTCGAGGTGGCAAGATATTCCACACTCCTAGCCTCCAGATTCCACTGGCCCGAACCATCTGCCCCTACCTGGACCCACCAGCCTCTGAATGACTCCCGAGAGCAGATCTAGACTCCTGCAACCTGTTTCCTCGGGTAAATCCAGCTGTCTGTCCAACATGCTTAGCCACTAAGGTGGGTGCAGACGTCTGGAAACGGAGTCTCATTTGCCTTACCATTTAGAACCTTCACAATTAAAGCAGAGCAAGACATCCCAGTTTAAGTGTGAGGTTCCGGAGGAGCCCCGTGGAATATGAAGACCCACAGTGAATTTTCATGGAATGTAATTCCAGCTTGCTTTAGGTGATTAGACTGAGTAACCTTAGGATGCAAAGCTTTTTAGAGGGGACGGAGGAGAAGGATAGTCCAAAATAAACTATTGTAAATAATAAATCTGTCTCAAAATGCCATCTACCGTTTGTTTTTACCCCCATGAACTTGAGTTTCAGTGTGGAAAAGTTCCGTTGAAGGCCTTCGGACACTGGGTGGCAGTCCACACAACTGTGCATTGCACTGGAGCAAGCTACCCACGGCAGAGCTGTTCAGTGCTACTGGCCATTCATCTGATGTTGACTCCCCCAGCTTCACCTTTATCAATAATGCAGGTGACTCTGTGGGTACCAGCTGCTACTCTTTTGTTTTGCTAATCCATTTCTTTCAAACTGAATAGGGGAAGAGCAACACTATTCATTGGGTATTCTCAAAACTTCAGCCTGCCTACCTTCTAAGGGTGCAACACCAGCTTCCCTTCTTACATTCATCCCCAACCTCCAAGGCTTGTAATGCTCTACCTGCTGTGATCCACCCTGTCTACCAAGACCCAACTGTTGTATGACAAAACTTTTCCTGGAGAGATACAACACGCACATCTGCTCACCCCAGATAAGGGACTCATGACAGAACAAAATATGGATAGCACCAAAGTACAACTTGATGAACCGATGAGCTTTATAGAAGTTACTTACAGGAGTATGGGTGAGGGGTAACTTAACAGGAGCAGAAATGACTCAAAGGCAGCTGCATCACCAAAACCCACCCCAGCATGGGTGGCACTTCACAAAGCTGGGAACCTGGAACACACTGCAGAGTCTGCAGACAGCTCAACGGATTGAAGAGTGTCCTTCCCAGGTACCTCAGTTGGTCTAAACTTCTTCCAGGCAGCTCAACTGATGTATTCTTCTTCCAGGCTGCTGGTCTGGCATCAGAGTCTTCTTTGCTGCTTGGTCTGTCTGAGATTCTTCTTTGAATCTTGGCTCTCTTTCTTTGAGAAGGACTCTCAGCTTTTATTGCTTACTCAGGCAGGGGTGGGGTTGGGTGGGTGGGGGCTTAGTGAATCTGCTTGGTTTCAGGGACTTCCTGAAGCTATTTTGAATTGTGTACCTTCCTACTTAAGTTTTCCTTAGTGTTGGGGAAGAAGAGACAGGAAAGGTCTGGGGAGCTAACTTCCTCTGGTAGATGAGCTCTAGGCTTAGTGAGAGACCTTGTCTCAAAAAGTAAAGTTGAAAGCAATGGAGGGAGACTCCAGACATCTACCACTGGTCTCCACAAACTCATGTGCACACATGAACATGTACATATGTGTATACAGAACACACATATGCACAGAGAGACATTTCGACTTTACAATGCTATAAAAGCATTATCTATCCAGTAGAAATCGACTTTGAATTCTAAGTATTAGCCTTTACTCTGGCTAGCAATATGCACATAGCCACCAGGAGCCACAGGTCCAGGTCAGCCACAGTGACCAGGAGAGTAAGCAACACAGATGTGGTATACTATGCTGTTAAAACTTTCTCACAGTATGTGTCCACTAAGTTACATGAGATAGGCAACACTGGATTACAAAACAGGCCTTATAGTTGATGTTTTGTTTCCCCAACAGTAAAGGGATATAGGTTTAAGGCAAGCTAGGGCCAAACTGTGATGCTTTGGTAGGCTAGGTCAGTTAAATGCTTTTAGGACGTTTTCAACTTAATAGGTTTATTGGGACCGTAACTTCATGGTAACCGGAGAAGCGTCTATACTTAGTGTAAGTTACTTAGGATATAAATCCAAGTGGTGTTAAACAATCAGTGATTCAGTAATTTATTTAACAAATATTTATTAAGCATCTACCACAATCCAGTCACTGTTCTAGGCTCTAAAGACATATCAGGACAGATAAAAGCTTATGCACTCGTGGGGAAAAACCGACACACATGTTCTCTTTAGCAAGGTGGAGAGCTATGTGGGATAGAAGGATATGGGGAGTACACAAGACATCCCTCTGAAGAAGCTCAGGCACAGCCTGGAAAGGTTCCTGTAAGGTGGTGGTTCTCAATCTTCCTAATGCTGTGACTCTTTAATAAAGTTCCTTGTGTTGTGGAGACTCCCACAACCATAAAATTATTTTTGTTGCGACTTTGTAACTGTAATTTTGCTACTGTTTTGAACTGAAATGTAAATATTTGTGTTTTCTGATGGTCGTAGGTGACCCCTGTTGGAAAAACCTGTCTCAAGGGGTCTTCACCCACAGATTGAGAACTAATGTTGTAACCTGGGCCAATAGTGCTATGACTGGGTGGGACCTGAATGCTGTGAGAAATCAGAGATTGAAGGCCCAGATCAACCTGCAGAGGCTGCCTGGCTTCTGACTGTGTACCTAGAACTGAAAGGATAAGTGTGTGTGGTCCCTAACAAGGAAGGAAGCATTGGGCAAAGGCAGAAAAGTACCATCTAGCATGTCCAGGAAAGTTACAGCCAGGTGCATAGCAAACTGCTGGCCAGAAGGGGCAACGGGGTTCACTAAGGCGGCTATTGCAGAACCTCAGGCCTGCGCTGAGATGCTGGAGGTGGGACACAGGGAGGATAGGGAGAAGTTGAATGTTGAAGCAGGATGGCTCTTCTGCAGGTGCCAGTCCGCAGTCTGGGCTGTGGGCTGGAGAACAAAGGGAATCTGAGGAATCTGAGTTTCATGGGAGAAGGTAGACACAGGCCAGGAAGAGATGCAGAGACCAGAGCTCAGGGGATACTAGTTTTATGTTAACTTAACACAAGCTAGAGTCATTTTGGAAGAGGGAATCTCAGTTGAAAAGACTTCCACCACCAGATTAGACTGTGACCAACTTGTAGTGCATTTTCAGTGCCACCTATGGGCTGGTAGTCCTGGGTGCTCTAAGAATGCAGTCAGAGAAGGCCACAAGGAGCAAGCCAATACGTAGTATTCCTCCGTGTCCTCTGCTTCAGTTCCTTCCTATAGGTTCCTGCCCTGACTTTTCTTTGATGATGGTCAGTGATCTGGGAGTATAATTAAAATAGATCCTTTCCACTCCAATGGTCTTTATCATCCTAACATCATATTCTACAGAGAAAAGATACGGAAAGGCCAAATCACTTGCCCAAGATGACTCAGTTGCTAGGATCTCGGTCCAGGCTTGGCAGACCACAGATATCTATCTATCTATCTATCTATCTATCTATCTATCTATCTATCTTCTGTGTGTGTGTGTGTGTGTGTGTGTGTGTGTGTGTGTTAGGGAGACACACACGCACACACACACACACACACACACAGAGAGAGAGAGAGAGAGAGTGCTCTTAACGGGACAGAAGAGGGTGTGGGATCTCTGGCAGCTGAAGTTATAAGCAAGAGATCTTAGCCACAGAGCCATCTCTCCAGCCCTCAGATTCTTCATTTTTTATCCATATAGTGATGAGTTTAAAAGTCATGAAGAGGGGTTGGATGGATGGCCCAGCAATGAGGAGCAGTTGATATTTTAAAAAGGACCAGAGTTCAGTTCCCAGCACCCACAGAGTGGCTCACTACCATCAGTAACTCCAGTTTCTCACCCTCTTCTGGGCTCTACAGGGACTAGGAATGCAC